TAAAAGTCAGAAAATAAATTTAATATAATAAATAAAGTTTAATATATAAAACCACTTATTGAAGGAAAAAAAGAAAAAAAAAAGTTACTACTTCTATTCAATGGTATTTGTTACGTTTGAAATTTCATGTATCTTAAGAAAATCACTTAAATTTATTTAAGTTATAATAAATTATTGAGTAAATTGACTATATTATCCTTAACTTAATGCTAATTATCTAAAAAAAATATTAAATTGAAGTAATAATTATTGGTCATATATAAAGGGCAAAATGGAAAAAAAAATATTACTCTTTGAAACCATAAATGTAACAAATATTTTGCAACAAATCATTTTTTCAAATGTGACAAGTATTATGAAACGGAGACAGTAAAAAGTAAAAACAATGAAATATTAATTGACTATAATAAAAGAAAATCTATTTTTGTAGATGAATTAAGTATTGATTCTTACTTTTTTTATGATATTATTCTGTTTCTTTGCCATGTGAGAGTGGACTTGTTAATTCTTAGGCCACAAGAAATGATCCATTGACAATTAATCCTCTAACCATGATTGGCTGAAAGTATAAATTGTCAACTACACCCTTTTCCTTTTTCTCAAAACTTAAAAATCTCAAAATTGGCATTGAAATTAAGTTTTCTAAATTAACAAACATTCTGTTAATAGTTGATACCATGGAAGAAAATGGAGAAACAAGATGGGAGATTGACAATCTAGCCCACTGAAATATCAAAGTCCACGGAATAATATTACAAAAAGTTTGTTTTGCGGTTTTATTTAAAAAAAAAATTATTTACCAATCACTAAAAAATGTTTGGAAATACTTGCTTGATATATATATATATATATATATGGCTTGAAAGGGAATACTAACTATTATAATGAGATTTAAATCATCCATACCTAGGGTTGGAAGTCGTACAGGTATTATAAGTTAACTGTTAGCCTCCTTTGTTGAAAATAATAATGAGATTTAAATCTCCATACCTAGGGTTGGAAGTCGTACAGGTATTATAAGTTTAACTGTTAGCCTCCTTTGTTGAAAATAATATATATATATATAATATATTAATAATATATATATATATATTAATTAGTCTTTGCTCAATTCCCACGACGGAGAGAAAGAGCATCGAGAGGGTGGTAGAAATATTTTATATCTCTTAAGGGACTTCCAAAAGATTTTCTCTAAATCACTAATTATAAAATACAATCACATAAATATGTTTTGAGGGTGTCGGGTAGAAAATAATTTTGTAATTGTGGTTGTAACAATTTGCCCGGCATAAGTGAATATTTTTTCTTGGTTTGTCGTTTGGCAACGGTTGTGTTTTTCTCGCACTTGGAGAGTTTTTCACGTTAAATTAATCGTGTTAAATTTATTTTCTTATTTTCTTTAATTTCTCAGTCATTATTTTATTTTCTCATTTGTTCATGCTTGAAGCCGATCCGAAGGGCGGGAAAATAGCAATTTTCCCAACAGTACCCACCCGGCTCTCATCCGTTTAAAGAAGATATAATTATAAATGAGTTTGAGATGGGTTATGAGTAGTGAAATTTACTACCCATAATACGACTATAAGTCTTTAGGTACCCGCTATATTAAATGGGTTTGACAGGAGATACTCGCAAATATTCTATCTATTATTATATTTAAATGAATTCGGATTTGGATAGTTAAAGATTCATGTGTACTTTGCCCGTATAGGGGTACTTTAAACGAGTTTTAAATGGATACATGTAGATAAAAATTTAAATAAATTCGGATATGTGTATTTAAATAGATATTTAAACGGATATGAATAATAAAATTTTAAAAAATATAGATATGGATAAATTAAAATTCACGGATACGTATTTCGCTTCCATAGCTTTTAAAAAGCAAATGCTTAAAACTAAGGTTTGACAAATGAAGAATTATTTTCTTACCCTGTCCGATTATGAGGCAAAGATGGAGATGAATTTATGTCAACTTTTTTCCTAGAAAGTTGACATGTGACATATTTCTCCAATTAGACTTTCATTTGACATCGTTTGATTTGATTATTTAATGTATTAATATCCTGACTTAATTTGGTTTGATTTGAATTTATTTTGAATTAGAGTTTTTGCTTTGGTTTGATTTGATTATTCAATGTATTAATGTATTGATTTAGTTTAGATTTATTTTGAGTTAATGCTTTTGATTTGGTTTGATTTGATTATTTAATGTGTTATTTGTGTTTGATTTGATTATTAATGTGTTTAATGTATTGATTTTGGTTTGAATTTATTTTTGAATTAGTGATTTTTAGTTTTGGATTTTGAGTTTTGGATTTTTTATGTATTTAATGGTTTTAAGTAATTATTTATTAATTATTAGTTTTTAAAAAAATTATAAAAGTATAAAGTTTAATAACAATGAATTATTCAATTAATGTATTAATGTATTGCTTTGTAACAAATCTTTACTCTCAAACTTGTGAAGTAACAAATGTTTTCTCTAACAACCGTTAATGCATCTTTAATGTTTCCTATCTAAACGTTTTTATTTATTATTATTTTTAAATAGTATATTAATGCACTTTTTTAAAATTTTAAATTATTAAACACTTTAGCTTTTTTAGAAATACTATATATAAGTTGTATCACTATATTTTTCTGTATTCTTGGCATAGGTATATTGGTCTATGCATTTAAATATATTATTCGTTTTTTCAAATTTAGAATTTTTTACGTCTCAACTATTTCCACTAATGGAGTTAGTAGTTTTTACTCAAATTTTTGTTTTCTTATTTTTTAAGATTAATTAACATGTTTTTGTAGCTGTAAACTATCAAATTAATATATATATCAAATTATATATATAATATATATATATATATAATATAATATAATATATTATAATATATATATATAAAGTATGTAGAATTTTTCTTGGTTATTGCCACTTTGAGATTCCAAAATTAATTAACATGTTTTCTTTCTTGGAAAAGAAAAGACTTTAAAACTATTGTTAATAATAAGTTTAATTAAGGATAATATAAGTTTATTAAAGAAGCTATATATAAAGTATGTAGAATTTTTCTTGGTATTGCCACTTGAGATTCCAAATTAATTAACATGTTTTTCTTTCTTGGAAAGAAAGACTTTAAACTATTGTTAATATAAGTTAATTAAGGATAATATAAGTTTATTAAGAACATAATTGTGAAAAAATTTTCAGTCAAAAAATGGAAACGCTACACGTTAGATGGATAAAGGTTTTAATAATTCCTACCTTATCCACTAACAACTTTTTTATATACTATCTTACCGAATGAACATAATTTACAAAAATTATGTTTTGACGTAGTCAAAACTCTAAACGCACCCTTAAACGCTGCTATCGAATAGAATTTTAGCCTTCTTTATTCTAAGCCCAAACTCTCATTTTGTTAATTAATTAAATAACTAAATTGCCTAATTTCAAAGCCAAGTATGAAATTATGGTAATTAGTTGATTTTTTTTATTAAATTTAATCATTTCTCATTATTTTCATTTAATATTATTTACTATTTTTTATTCTTTTTAAAACAGAATCTGAGTCTTTTTTTTTAATATCAATATTTTTTTAATATCAAATATATTCAAAATATTATATATGAAAATCAAGTTGAATCCTCCGGTTTAATGAACTCATATCTTTACTGGTTTATTGACTGATCCGATTCATAGAATACTGGTTCCAAGCTAAAATTTATTAATTTTCCCATATTTTTTAATAAATTAAAAAAATAGTAAACTTTTTACAAATATGAACATTTTTATTGTACACTTTTTATTAATTTTCAATATTACAATAAAATAATAACATTTTAGTAGATATTTATTCCCATAAAAGAAGTAGAGTCTAAAACATTTTATAATTAAGAAATAATTATATTATATTATTTTATAAGTAAAATTTGTTTATAAAACAAAACTTTAAAAACGAAACTAGTAAACAATTTATAGTGTTAGAAATAATGACTAAAATACTCAACTATTGAGAATGATTTTAAAATATTAATATAATTAAATTGTATCGAGAATAATGACTTTGTGGGAAGAGCTCTTGAGCTCGATCCTACTAAATTCACATGCAGGAAGGAGCGAGAAGAGAAAAGTGTTAACTGTGATTAAGTCACGGACTGGATTAGTAAACTTCAATTAATAAGATACTGGTGGCTTACACGGAAAAAAAAAAAACAATCACTTGTATACAATGAGGTGTACACTAAAAGCAAAATTAAAAAATTGATTGGATTAACATAAATTGATTTATTAAGAAAGTCAATAGATTGTATCTTAAAATAAATTTTGTTAATAAAGTCAAGAATTTTTTATCATTGAAGTTATTGACTATGGAGTCATTTTTGAACATAGAAAGAGTCGTAGTTACCTCTTTTATGAGTCGGATCATTTGATCCCGCTAAATTAAAGAAAATTTAAAAATAGTTTTGTAATTCTATTTTTTTCAGAATTGACCCATTAGAATATTTAATACACCCTATTACATTATTTTTTACCCTACTGATTAATTCCTGAGACACATGTTTCAAACGGAAAAATAACTACATTAATTTTTTTTTTATTCAAAATGATTTTCAATTTTTTTTATTAAAAGTTGCAGCTAATAAATACCGTAAGTTCCGGACTGTTTCTGTTCTGAAATGGTAAAAATTGTAGTTTTTCTCCAACACGGAAAGCCTGTATTGGCACTCTGATATTTTCATACCGAAAAACAACACATGAAACGCAGGCACAATGTACATGGGCCAAGTCGTTTTCTGTGTCCCGCTTTAGTAATAAAATAATATTATATTGCAATCTATAATCAAATATGAAAAGAGACAGAGTCTATTATTTGTTGCCCGGTGCCCAATCCAAATCTTAACCCTACTGAACAACTAAATTACAGATCATACCACTCATTGATATTCGAGCATGGTCCCACCCTTCCCTTCTGCTATAAAAAAACCACCAATCCTAGTCTCCTAGGGCTCAGCCATTCGTGCTATTCCAATCCCAATCAAAGCCCAAATCCGTCAATTGAATCTTTTTAATTTTGTTTTTTAGAGAGAGAAAAAACAACAGAGAGCGGTTTTTTAGTAAGAGAAAGTGCGTATTAAAGAGAGACTCGTGGAGGCTTTGTTAGTGCGATGCGTGGGGGACAGGTGACAAAGAAGGAAAGCAATGAATGGCGAGATCCTGTAAATTTCTTCAAATGGCGGATCGTAACGCTTCTCCGCTTTTATAAACCCTAACCGTTTCATTCTAATAGTCTTGCTGTATCTTCATAATTCTCTCTGTTTGGTTCTTAATACACACTTGAGAGGGAGGAAGAAGAAGAAAGAGATCTCCTCTTTTAATTCTGTACATACTCAGGTTTCAATTCCTCTAAATCACTGGCATTATAACACCTACATTGTCGCTTTGTTTGTGTTCCTCTTTAGTTTATGATATTTGTTATTTTAACGCGCTTTCAACGATGTTTTTTATTTGTATTGTCGGAGGAGCATATATATTTTTTTTTTATTGTAATTGAATTTTTGGTTCCGGTGGTTGTGGTAGTAGTTGTAGGAATGGCGGAGGTGGCGAAACTGCTGTATATAGTGGTGGTGGACGAGGAAGAGAGGAACGAGCAGGGGAAAGAGTCGTTTAGATATACGCGTCCGGTTTTGCAGAGTACTCTGCAACTCATGGGATGTAAAGCGCGTCATGCTTTTAAGGTAATATTATATTATTTATTACTGATGCTTTGTATGTTTATTTTTTTTGTTGTGTAATGGCTTGAAATTTGCGATGTTAACTTGGCAATTTAGAACTTACTCTATTTTTCCATTATTCTAGATTTTGCTGTTAATCATGGCTGGATTTTTGGAGTTTGACGTGATTGTGATATCTCGTAATGATAATTTGTTGTAGATTAGTTGGATATATGGATTGGGTAGATCTGTACTTAATATTTCGATGGAAATCCTGAATTTCACCTTTTCCCCCTCTGTCTTCTTTATACATTAATTTTTGTTCGAACTTGGAGCTGTAATACAAGTCCAATACTGAGGAATGTGCAAAAAGCTTTATGTTCAAGTATAATAAATTGAAATGGTGTTCTGTTCGCATCTTGTGTCATATAAAATGATAATTGCATTAAAGTGGTCTCATAATGTAAAGCACTTCTTTTTTCTGTTTTCAATATTATCTCTTTTGTAATGCTTCCTATCTTGATGTGGGTTCTTTGATAACGTGAATTAATTGATTGAGCTTTCTTTTCTCCTTCTTGTTGCCTTTGAATCTACTGCTAATGTTACTTCAGATCCTTATAGAACTATGATTAAACAATGATAAAACAGATTTTCCTGTGTAATTGACACACTGCTTCAGTGCTAAGTCACTGGGATTTTATAATAAATTAACTAACCTTCTTATGCAATTTTAGATATTGTACAATCAATTGCACACGTTTGCTGCATTTATTGCTAGTTAAATGATTGTTCTATGGACTGGTATCTGATTTTATTTTAATTGTCTATTCTTAAGCTGCATTTATTTGTTTGTCTCATGGAATGTTGAAAACAATTGAGATTTTATCATTTTGGTTTATTTTGCATTGTTGGTAATTCTTCTTCTTTTTTTTTTTTTTTCTTGATCTCTAGCTTCTATTCTCCCCTTTGGACTTTATTGAAAGGGATCTAAAAGTTATTTTCTGCATATGCTTGTTGTGCAAAATGGTGGACTCTTACACTTTGGTCTCGATTTGATTTTGCTGAAAACAATGTGTATGTAAATTATTTTCTGGAAATTGAATAACTTTCTGGTATTTTGTTGAAACATTATGAAGTTTTTTTCTAGAGATTAGTACTTGAAAAAAATATCTTTTTTCTTCCGCTTATTTATGAAAATGGCTGAACATACAAAAACTTCATTTTTATGAAAAATTTGTTCAATGTAGAAAATGGTACACAAATATGGGTAAAGTGTGGTTGCGGTTTTTGATAGTTAGGATTTGTTAGTGGACTATTTAGTACATATCTATTTGGTTATGCTGTAGGTTCTTCCCTTTTTATGAGCTTGGAACATCTGGAATGTGACTGTTCTTTTCAAATGAAATAGGTGGTCACTTTCTTTTTTCTGAATATCATCTAGTTTTCTCTCTTGCTCGGAAAATATTTTCATCAATCAATATTTACAATTACTGTAGACTTTTTTCTGGTGTACTGTTGTAGGTTCTGTCATGTGATGTCTTTTAATTTGCTAATTTTCCACCCCGTGTTTTGAAGTTGTTAGTTATTTATTTAACTTGACATAATGTTTAACTGGTTAATTCCAATATTTTGCTGAAGCAATTGCACACATTGCTGAGTATCCCCTTCCTTTTCAGATTAGCCAAAGGGTTTTTGAACTGATGCGAAGTGAATCTTTTAATGATGCTCTACTTTGGAAAGAAGGGGAGGCAATTGGGGCTGAAAGTGAGTGGACGAATACTACTAGCAATAGTCCAACGTTTGAGTTGTACAAAAGGCGGACAACTGTAATTGTTAGAAGAGAAACTTTCATTAAAGTAGTATGTGATTCTCTGACTGAATATAAGTATGTGGGTCCTAACCAGAGGGCTGACTTGGTTTTGGCATGCAGGTAAGATATAAACATTTCGGGCCTTCATTGAAAGTGATTTGTATCTATAACAGCAGCAATGGATTATTGTCTTAACATGCATGTCTTCCTTGATTGCATGTCCACCAATTACATGTTTTAGTGGCTGAGGAGTTAGTTTTTTATGAGGATTTATTGGATCTGAAATGCAAATCCTATTTAACTCTATTGAAACCTCTATTCTGTATAGTGTACATTATGTTCTCTTGTTCTGGTAGACTCTTTTTTCTGCCTTATTTTACTGTGAAAAAGCATGTAGCTTGCTGTAGGTTTATGCTACTTGTCTTTATTCACTACCATTCCAACCAATGCACGTTATCTTTGTGTTGCAGAATTCGAGAAAGAAAGGAATCTGTAACTGTCCTGCTGTGTGGCACTAGTGGCTGTGGCAAATCAACTTTGTCTGCATTGCTGGTATCCTTTCACCTCTGTAAATGAGTGCTCTTGTATAATGTCATTTTTTTCCTTTCTTGATGAGAAGCAGAATCTTTTGTGTCAAATTTCTGTTTCTGTGTCTAATGCTAAGTTTTCCTTGTGTTTCACGCAGGGTAGCAGATTAGGAATTACCACAGTGATATCTACTGACTCTATTCGGCACATGATGAGAAGTTTTGTTGATGAGAAGCAGAATCCTCTGCTATGGGCTTCAACATATCATGCTGGGGAATTCTTGGATCCTGTGGCAGTTGCTGAAGCAAAGGCTAAAAAACAGGCAAAAAAATTGGCTGGCATTGCAAATTCACGTCCGAAGGATGAACTAACTGATAGTTCCACCACTGTGAAATCTGATAGTCAATCACCAGATGTGGGTTCTGGTACGACTGAATTGATTAGTCCTAAACAAATGGCAATTGAAGGATACAAGGCACAAAGTGAGATGGTGATTGACAGCCTTGATCGTCTAATAACTGCATGGGAAGAGAGGAAAGAGTCTGTGGTTGTTGAGGGTGTTCACTTGAGCCTTAATTTTGTGGTAAGTAAATTCCTTCAGTTTTCTTTTTATTTGATGACTTCAAGTATTCTCTTGATTTTAATCCTGCTATGTAGATGGGGCTTATGAAGAAACATCCTTCAATCATACCATTCATGATATATATAACAAATGAAGACAAACACTTGGAACGATTTGCTGTCCGTGCAAAGTATATGACATTGGACCCAGCAAAAAACAAATATGTGAAGTATATTCGAAACATAAGAACAATCCAAGATTACCTGTGCAAACGGGCTGATAAACATCTTGTCCCTAAGATCAACAACACGAATGTTGATAAGAGTGTGGCAGCGATCCATGCAACAGTTTTTAGCTGCCTTCGCCGGCGTGAGGCTGGAGAAGCACTTTGTGATCCTACAACAAACACTGTTGCTGTTGTAGATGAGGAGTACAGGAACCAGTGTGCTGCAAATTCATTGAGCTCCAAAGGAATGTTTCAGCTTATCCAGAGGAAAGGTTCTTCTAGGCACTTGATGGCTCTTGTTAATACTGATGGGTCTGTGGCAAAAGCTTGGCCAGTTGATTCTGTGGGTAGTAGGGGGAAACATGTAGGCTCTGGCTCTGAGAATGGAAATTGGACACCTATGTATGGACCATTGCAGATTGGCAAGGCCGAACCAGTTAATCTCCAGTTTGGCCATTTTGGGATCAGTGCTTGGCCCAGTGATGGTGGTACAAGTAATGCTGGAAGTGTTGATGAGTCAAGGGCCGATTGGACTGATAATGGAAGTAAATATCATTCTTCTTGTTGCAGCTCACCTCGAATGTCTGATGGACCTGCCAAGGAGGTATCTTGGGACTTATTATTATTACTGTTTTTCCTCCTGCATCTCAGGAGCAGTAGGTTACAATTACGTGAATAGATAATGGAACTTAAATCAATTAGCATTATGTTATTTGTATAGCACTAATATAAAATCTTTTCTCTCTGGGTACTTTTGTTTCTGATTGGATTTCTTCATGGCCTCTTCAGCTTAAGGAGGAAAATTCAGTGCATGGAAGTGACGAGGAAGTTGATGATCCACCAGAGGCGGACAGCGATGAGGATTTTAGTGATGATGGTGATAATCATATTGACGAAGAGGTATGAACAGGATAATCAGATTGTACAAAAATCTTACAGAACACAATTAAGTTTTGGTCCAAATCAGACTGTCCCTTTGTAATAAGGGTGAACAATAGAGTTAAACATTAGATGACAGCTGTACTTAGTAGGTTGATACGGGTTGAGGAACTTTTGTTTATAATCGTATTAAAACATTGTCTTTTACTTTATTTTAATTCTCATTTAAACTCGGTTCCTGGTTAACAGATAGGTTCAGTTGATGAGGAGTCCACAAAATCTGATGAAGAGTACGATGATCTAGCAATGCAGGATGTGCAGGATAATGGCTATTGGTCAGACGATGAAGAATCCAAAGATAAATTGCTACCTATTTTGGGTAGCAGTTCAGGCCCCACGGAAGGAGAAAAGTATAGGCAGAATCTAGATCGGTTCCTTAGATCTAGAAGTGAGCCACTTGGTGAGCCACTATGTGCTTACTCTTCTTTCCTTGTGGAAAAGGGTGAGAGGAGATTGTCCAACCTTGGCAATGTAAAAATGAGAAAACGTTCCCTCAGCATTCCAGCCATCGGAAAACATGGCTCTATAGTTGCAGATCCGATTCTCTCTGGAGCTCCACAGAGGTAGTGAAAGTGGAATAATTCAACTTCCTGTTTTCTCAAAACCCTGTATTTCTTTTTTGTTTCTTATTAGTCTAGTAGTTGAGGGTAACAATTTGCACAATCCTGCCTATAGTACAGTTGCTTGACATGGCTTGATTATGTTTGTTTTTTTGTTTTTGCTGTAAGCAATCAAGCAAAATGGAAACGGTTCAAAATTATTTAAAGATGGATCGTTGCGCAGAAATCACAATTAAGAGTTATAATTTTCCCTTTTATTACATTTGAAAGTACTGGATAATAAACTATCAACTAGCAATATTAGCTCTTGGAATGGCCATTTTGCCTTCAAGTTCGACAACTATGCCCTTGTATTTAAAGAAAATCGATCCTTACACCCTAGTATGAAGCTTGTTAGACGTCCTTTCCTTTGTCGAACAGAAAAATGAAAAAAGAAAAACGCAGCCCGTAAAACTGATATTTCTGCTTCTATAGCATTACAGTTATTTAAGCTTTGAGAGCTTGGATGGATTTTCTTGCAGTTTTGTTTTAGGTTAGAGGTCTCTTGTTAGTTTAAAGTTATATGATCATCGGCTACGATTGTTCCCTGAGTATCATGAAATAATCAAATCCATCCTCTCTCCCTAAAAGCAACAAATAGAAAATAACTGCCCAACACAAGAATTGAGAAAGGTGACTATATCGACCCAAGCACCCCATTATCATCGGTATGACTTTGTGCTTCACTCTTGTGCCGCCCTTCTCATGGTACCCATTAACTCAACAGCCAAAACTTATAGGAAGAAGATTTGAACAGAGAATTGAAAAGAAAACGAGACAACAGCTACTGTATAAATCATTTTCTTCTTCCTCCACATCTCCATGGAATTCCCTTTGAATCATAGGCCAATCAAAATTGTGCACCTTACCAAATTTCAGGCTTCCATCCTTTTAGTCATTATGTTCCTTCAGATTCTTTGCCACCTTAAACCAAGTTTTCTTCAACTAAAGTTGCTGAATTTTCAAGACTTCCATCTCCTTTAACCATAATATCCACCAACTGTTTTGCCTCCTCAAACCGATTCAACTTAAATAATGCAGCCTCTATTTTGCTGCAAATGGATAAATCAGCATCAAATCCTCTCCTCACCATCTCAATTAGCATTACATAGGCTTCATCTACCATTCCCTTTCTGAAATTTCCGTCAACCAAGATATTAAAAATAACCTGGTCTAACTCAATTCCTTTTCTTTGCATCTTACTGACATAATATCCACCAACTGTTTTGCCTCCTCAAACCGATTCAACTTAAATAATGCAGCCTCTATTTTGCTGCAAATGGATAAATCAGCATCAAATCCTCTCCTCACCATCTCAATTAGCATTACATAGGCTTCATCTACCATTCCCTTTCTGAAATATCCGTCAACCAAGATATTAAAAATAACCTGGTCTAACTCAATTCCTTTTCTCTGCATCTTACTGACATATGCCATTGCAATCTCCATTCTCCCAACCTTGCAATTGCCATTTATTAATGCCCAAAATGTATCAACGGTCGAGTTAACACCTCTAATACTCATCCTATCAAACAACAGAAGTGCTTTATCCACGAACCCTTTATTACAATACCCATTTATAACCAAATTATACATGTGGGTATCAACATTCAAATCTCTACCATGCATCTCCAATAGCAACTTCTCAGCTTCTTTAATTTTACCAAAGCTTGAGTACCCATCTATCAAAATTTTATATGTGTTAATATTAAATGCCTCTCCTTCCTTTTCCATTAATGCCAATATGCAATTTAACTCCTCAAAACTCCATCTTTTAGCACAAGCATCTATCATTATATTATATGTTATAATGTTGGGTTTAATTCCTTTAATCACCATTTCTTCCACTAATTCTCTACACTGTCTAATCTCTCCATTCTGACATAACCCTTCAACCACAACTGTCAAAGAATATACAGAAACCTCAATGCCTGTTTCAATCATTCTATTAAAAAACTCAAGGCTTAATCTCATCTGATCATTTATCTTAAGGGAAAGCAAATGCACAGTACAAGTTCTCTCATCTATGTCAATTCCTTTATTCTTCATGTAATCAAAAGTCTTCAAAACTTGTTCAAATTTCTTATTATCAGAGTAAACCTTAAGCATCATATTGAATAACTTTGCTATAACATTTGGTTCAAAGCAACAACAATTCTCAATAGTAGAAGCTAAAATAGAAAACGGGTACCTGTTACAATCCTTAATTGACACAGATTTCAAGAGAATTTCTGCATCTGAGAATCTTCTTCCCTTTGTAAGTTTTGAAATTAGTATCAAATGGGCTTGAAGATCAGGTTGAAATGAGATCAATGATTCGTTTTGGCGGAGAAAATCGAAGAGATGTAAGCAATACAAAGGTTTTAGATCTGGGTCCGATAGAGTTTGGTGGAGTTTTGTTGGGTTGAGATTGGAGAGAATTGTTGAAGAAGGAGGAATTAGGGTTTTAGAGATTGAGTGTAGGTTTTCTCCGCAGAGTTTTGGGGATAGATTTAAACGGCGAGTCCTTTTCACCGTTTTGAGATTTCTGAGAACTTTTCGTATCGACATTTCTATACAGAATCGAAAAATGGAAAAGCCTCGCCGGTGAACAGCATGAGATGAAGAGGGAAAATTATTAGCGATAATGAACAGAACATTCAGTCGAGAAACAACGACATATTTGCGCGGTTCTGTCGTTCCGGAAAAGCACGTCCGATGTGTGGTCAAAACGACTAATCATTTAGCCGTTATTGCTGTCAAAAGGGAAAATCTAAATTGGGCCTCAGGCCGTCAACTTTATTAATTTTGGGAATAAGGCACAATGAATCCTCGAACTTGAGTCTGGTGTACAAAAAATGACCATTTTCTTTCTTTTTTTTTTTTTTTAAGGATAAAAATTACCATTTTCTTGCTCAACTTAGATAATGATTTTCTTTTTTTTTTTTTTTAAATCAGCAGTTCACATTTTATTTTATTGAATTATAAAATTCAAGAAAAACTTATCAAATATAAAATATTAAACTCAAGAGAACATGCATTCTTTTATGTTTAAAACTATAATTTGAGTTTGATAAATAAAAAAAAAGGAAAAATTACAATACGATCCCTATGTTTTGCAAAATACAATTAGTTTATTTCTGTTTTTTTTTTAAATATATTAATTTATCTTTATATTTTACTTTCACTACACTATCAGGTCATTTTGTTTAATTTTTGCATATTTGCTGTTAAATCAATAAGAAGACACAAATGTTAAAAAAGAGATACTAAAATATTATAGCAGAAAAATTACAGTATAATTTCTATGGTTTGAAAAATACAACTAATTTGTCTCTGTATTTTAAAAATAAAAGGGATATTTTCACCATTTTATAAAGTACTTAACAAAAAAGTGAATTTGCACAAAAAGAACAAGAAGCCTAATTTACTACTCAAAAGAATTTTAATTTAAATCCAATTATAATTAAAAAATATATATTTTTCTAATTCTGTAATTTTTTTTAAATCAAATACTTTATCTGTCACACTTTGTTTGCATGATTTGACAAAACACACATATTAAAGACTGAGTCAATAAATATATTTTTTTAACCCTTAACTTATTAATATATTAATGAAAGTTACCCATTTAATGAATAATCATAAAGATTATTATAGAAAAAATAATTGTTTAAATATATAAATTTAAGAAAATTTTGGAACATTTAAAAAAAAAACAAACAAAATGAGACGGATGAAGTATTTTATTTAATTATATTTTTAATCAAAGATAAGACACCATAATTTTTATAATTATTGTTAAAAATATTTTTTTTCCTTAATTTTAAATAATTTTTATTAGTTAAAAATATTAAAAATTATTTTTTATCAAATATTGGCCTTTTTGATTTTTTTTTTTTTCCAAGTTGAAGGGGTAAATTACACAAAAAAAATTGATTATTGGGCAAACTGAATAATACTTCTAAGTTGAAAGAGCAAATTAAGCTCTATTCCCTTGTATATAAAGATGTTAATTGACCTTTTAATTTGATGGGTCAACTCGAAAGCGTCTAATGATTAATTTATAAATATTTTCAACTCATTTTCAACTTGAGCAAGTTCATTTTATAAATCATTAACTATTCGAATATATTTGTCCTTGACTATAATATTGTTGAGTTCCCTTTATTAAATGCAAAATCTTAAAGTATTGCCTTTCTTTCTTTCTTTTTTTTTTTTTTTTTTTTTTTTATAATAAATGATTACGGTTAATTGACTCTTTTTAAAATTTGAATGGTAACTCGGAAAGTCGCTAAAATGATTAATTATAAAATATTTTCAACCGTCATTTTTTCAACTTGAGCAAAGTTCACTTTTATAAATCATTAACTATTGCGAAATATATTTGTCCCTTGAGACTATCTATAATCATTGTTGTAGTGTTCCCTTTATTAAAATGCAGAAATCTAAAAGTATTGCCCGTTTCCCTTTCTTTCTTTTTTTTTTTTGTTTTTTTTTTTTGGGATGAATATTGTCTTTCGCTTTTAACGCAAGGTGAAGAGCAAGCGTGAGATAAGGTTTCTTATGTCGGTGTATATTGATAAAAACGGATGTAGCATGTCTTTCACTTGGTTTCCGTTTCTATTTTTTTTTTTTTTTTAATAAAAAAACCCCAACTGATCCATACATGATTTATAGTCTATATTGATAGATTGGGGCCCACATGAATTGGAGACGAAATGGTTAAAAAGGAAGGCTAATCGTTATAAATTTTTTTTTTTTTTTTTTTTTTTTTTTTTGGATGAAGTATTGTCTTTCTTTTTAACAAGTAAGGCAAGCGCGAGATAAGGCTATGGCTTGGTTGAATGATAAACGGATGTAGCATGTCTTTCACTTGGTTTTCCTTTTCTATTTTTTTTTTTTTTTAATAAAAACACTATCATATTTATAGGTCTATATTGATAGATTGGGCCCCAGGAATTGAGGAAACGAAATGGTTAAAGGTATCGTATATAAAATTAACATGTTAGAGTGAGTTTCAATAAATTTGTGTCATAAACGGCTTAATTCATTTATAATAGGAGTTAAAACGGGTCGCATAATAATTTAACTCACAAAAGCATGCACAACCTACTTAATTAAATATGTCATATTTTACCAGACTCGTCTAACACTTTAACCCATATAAGTTGTTGTAATATAAAGGGTATAATAATCATTTGAATATACAATATATCTCCAATAATACATGTTAAGCTGTTAGATTTTATGATATGCTTGTGACCCACTTAATTGCGTGATTAATAAAGAATTATGTGTATATTAATCCTAATCAAATCATCATGTTTGGTCATCTTGACTCCAACATGCAATGGTCATGCCACCAACCTATTTTCACACGCTAACTAAATTCAAAGTGAATTATGATTATCATGGACAAATTTCAAGTCTCTTGTCTGTCCGATAAACCTCATACAGACATCTCGTATTTTCAATGTAAGACAAGCCTCATACATTTTATTGCAACAAATAATTGCACCACTCACTTACAATTAGGAGAAACAAATAATTGGCTTTGATATCAAAATTATTAGGATTGTTATTCATGCAATTCTAACAAAAATATTTGATATGGAGAATCTAAAAAAGAAAACAGGGCTAAGAAGATAAAATAAGATAAAAGAGAAAATAAATTCAGAAGTATGAGAATTAGGGTCTGTTAGGCAAAATTAGTTGTTTTAGTAAGGTTTAACTGTGAGTTATTTGAATAACTTTTCATGAAATGTTAGAGAGCTAAATGTTATATGAGTTAATAACTTTTTAAATAACATTTTATAAAAAGGTAACTCATGTAATATTACTGAAACAACTAATTTTGATGAACATATCCTATACGTCATATAATCTACCTAAGAATTACTTTCTTCCCTGCTAGCCACATAGACCTCAGATTGCCACATCAGCTGAACGAGCAAAATAATAAATTGTTGCACAATTACAATCAAATGCAAATGTTTATCTATCAATTACAATTAAATCTATCACATTTACATTTAGGTCCTAACAGTATTCAACTATTAATTATTTATTATTAATAAAATAAAACACAAATATTTTTTTTTATAGTAAGAGAGAGAGAATTTGATAAACATTGAAGTGAAGGCAACAAATCATATATTATTTCTTATATTTCAAAGAAAGAGAGAAAGTGCATAGATATTTATTTTCTTTAATTACAAATTCTATAATTGATGAGTAAAATGTCAGGAGGAGCTTTTTGCTTCTTAGTAAAAATAGTGACCTATTTTTATTGGGACAAAGTGATTTAATGAGATTGTGTGTAATGCATGGGATCCAAGATGGGTCCTAGAGTTGCATGTATGCCACGTGAATGCCCTTTAGTAAGGCACCATATAGGACCACCGGAAATGACATTTAGGACCACCTTTGCTTTTTTAGGACCTTTTTTGCACCAAAGATTGTATGGATCTGTTGGATTCTTTTCTATAACCAGTTGCTTTCAATCGTCAATTTTTTCTTTTTAATTTTTTTTTTTTTGTCAATAACTATTTTCAAAAGAATTTTCAGCTTAGCTTATATAAACTATAATTAAAAATTTTCTATCAGACAATTTTAAAATTGTATTTTAATTTAAAAATAATAAATCATAATAAGATAAGAAAATTCAAAATAGTTAATAATTGATGAGAAGATGTTTTATTATGCTTGTTAACCAAAAAAATCCAACAATTTTCTTCTAAAAAAAATCCAACAAATTAAAATCTCAGCAGCGATAATAAATAATTTCTTGTATATATTTATTATTATTCAATACTTATTATTAAATTTAGAATAAGAAAACATACTCTCAGCATTCTTAGATTTTGTATATATTTTACCAAAGTGGAATTAACTTAATGTACTACATATTTGAGATTTAATTTAAGAAATATGCATTTTCCATTACATTGAAATTATTTAAATATTATTTCAGGAGTTAAATTAATTTATTGTCATTTTCAAGATCAACCATTTGAAAGCTTCATATGCACCAGGGATAATTTTGCTGCGTGTCACATTGACATAACTTTGACTTCTTGCCATGTATTATCTGGGCATACTTATAACAGATCCAAGAGACATAACACAAACATTCCCACATGGAACCCATGTATAATTCATTAAATCATTAAAAAAAAAAAATTCAAATTTACTTAATACTTTTAATTTTAGCAATTATTCAAATTTATTTTTTCTTATCCACAGTGCGCTAGTTGGTTGCTTATTTGGCAGTTAGTTGGCCACACAACACCCAAATGATCAAATTCACATAGTCTTTGTCATTCATCCTTACTTTCAAAAACTTCTAAGTTTAAAGATTGCGAAAAATCTATAAGTTAAGGATTGTGAAAATTCTATTTCTTTTCCATTCCACTACAATTTTGAAAGGATATTGTATGACTTTACAATTAACACTACAAAAAAAACGCTAATTTGCGACCGATGTTATAACAAACTCTCTTCATGAATCATTGACAGGCAATTTGAACCCTAAGATCTGCCAATTAGATTTCTTCACTCCTGAAACTATATATATATATATATATATATAAAACGTTTTCTTTTTCCATTTCAAATAATTCTACATAAACTTACTATCAATTCCACCGTGGCTGAAATAATCTTTGACCCTTCGTATTCCTGCTACAAGAGATTGGAGAAAACTATATAGTTATTAGCAACCTTAATTAATTTATTCAAGAATCATGCGCGTGTGTATATATAGTTAATCTTCTTACTTAAAAGACCACAACAACTAAAACAATTTATTACTTGAAGGAAAATGAACAAATCTTAAATATATAATTCGAGCATTTCTATGTACCAAGATTAAGTCCGCACAATAAATATAGAATGAAAGGTTATTGTGAAAACCAAAATTAACTCATAATCACTATAAATAACAATCGATGTTGGTATCAAAAAAGCATAAATAAAATCAAATTAGTAAATCATGATGATGCCTACTTAATGGAAAAATTTTGCTATAACAAGCAAAAAAGCAATAAGAAGATGTACAAAAAGAACTTTAACATGTAAGGAAAAAAATGACATCTTACAGGGATTTCAAAGAGAAAACCATTCATGAAGCCAATTGCAAGAATTGTGTCTACGGCTCTAACTTGTTAGAATGGAAGCTGTCAAAGTTAAAGAATAAACACAATTGTAGTGAGAAAAAGAATAGTTCATGTATTATATTGAAATGTATCACTTAATATTCCTATTTTCAAAAATTAACTAAATAGTTCTTCTGTTAGATTTTCATTTTTCTGCCACTCATGAAATCAACTATTCTCTATTAACCTATTTTTCTATTTTTTACCCTGAAACCAATGCCCATACCTTCAGATTCTCATCAATCAAACATCCACTTATGAGCTCCAAATATCTTCTCCACAAGTAAAAGCATAAGATCTAGACCATTTCACACTAAAATTTCTTTCCAAATCAAAGAAAAAAAAAAAAAAAAAAAAAAAAATACACATCCACTTATGAAGCTCCAATATCTTCCTCCCAACAAGTAAAAGCGAATAAGAATTCTAGACCATTTCACACTAAAAATTTCTTTCGCAATCAAAGAAAAAAAAACAAAAAAAAAAAAAAAGACTCCATTGAGAATCATGAAGAATTGAAAAAAAAAAAAAAAAAAAAAAAAAAAAGACTTCCATTGAGATCATGAGAATTGGCTCCACCAAAATATTATCCCAACCAAAAAATCAATGGTATTTCAGTAAAATAATTATATTTCTGATTTTTTCAATTAATTAACAGAAAAAGGCTAAAAATTAACGGAATGACTAAAATACATATAATTTGAAACTGAGTCATCCTTTAGCCTAAAAGTGTGTTCATAATATTTCATGTGATGTACTGAGCAAAATAAAATCAATGCAATCAAATGAAAACTAAAGATTTATTTTGTTCATATTATTCTTACAATCTACCAAATAAAATTACCTATCCTTAAAACTTAAAACTAAAGCAAAATTCATCAAATACCATAAGCTAGTGTGGGGCTATTCATGGATAACAGACAAAATATATACACAGAATCATATGAAGGTCCATAAGGCAAAGATGTAGGGCAATTCTCCAAGAAACCAATGAAATCTTGTCCCCAACTAGATATGTATGAAAGATTTTACAAGAACAAAAATGTTATCTAATATTATCAAATCACAGAAATAGAATCATTAATTATAATCCACGCATCTAGATTTACAAATGTATAACTAATCTTGGAAGTAATAACAAAACAGAACCAAAAGCTTTTGCTTTGTATTGATATTAATTTGATCAAATTAAGCGGATATTCAGATATATAGCCGAACTCAACTAGTTGAAAACAACAAAAGAAAACCTCAATTCAGATTAATTTGTTTTCAGTTAATTTTATTTCAAAATGAGTCTATTTTAGCATTATTAACACAGAATAACAAAAAGGAAAAAAAAAAAAAAAATACAATATCAACAGATCAATTTCAATTTACCTTTGCCATATTTAGAGACATGGAGAGGCCATAGCTTTGGATGAAATTAAAGGAATATAACCTTTACAGGATTACAGAAAATGTGAATGAAAAGCTTGGATAGCGATAGAGGCACACAGATTTCTATAATTTTGAAGTGACTGAATTATCACTGTCATAAAATTACAAATTCATATATTTACCTCACCCTAAAAAGAAAAGAAAGAACTCTTCTAAAGTACTATTGTTGGGGAGAGGTGAAAAATAGGAGGACTAGATATGTCTGCAAGAGGAAAAGAGTGAGAAAGAGAGAGTACATGAAGAGGGTCCAAGTTGCTACCAAATAGTTAGGTCCACCAGTAAGAGTGATAGGTGATTGAATGCTAAAGCCAAACACAACAATGGCAGTGACAATGTGACATGTTCCCACCGTGAAATTTTAATTTCTTTCTTTTTCTTTTTTCAAATTAATATCAAAGTTCTGATTGAAATATGCATATATTTCACTGAAAAGAATATATATATGTACATATGTTTTTTTCAAATTTTTTTCTTCTCCTCCATTAATTTTTCAGTAGACAAACAAAAACCCACTTAGAAGAATGTCCATATTATAATACTATTTAGTAATTTATGGTGAAGACAAAAGGGTTTTTATGGGATGAAGATACCCAAACTCCAGTTAAGCTATTTTAGCTGATATCATCACATCAACCACTCATATAGGAACAAACAAAATTAACTCATATTCTTTACCTTATAGATTCTTAGCTTCTGTTCAAATAGCTCCAAACTGGCTCCAAAGGAGTTTCTTCAACTTCATTACAACACAAATCCCTCTATAAATTGTTTTTTTTTTCTTTTTCTTGGCCTTTTCTGCATATGGACATTGAACAATAAAAGACCCAGAAATGTTTATCTTAAGAAAAGTCAAGACCAGAAGATCTATTTATAGAGATATAGAAATCCATAAATGGATCTATAACTAAAAACCCATTATAGCAAAAATGTCCAACAAATTTATAAAATATATATAAATGATATGAAAACCAAGTACTTACTTTTCTCCTTCTCCTTGGTTTCTTGAAGTCCTATCACATCTGCAACGAGAAAGCTAGTAAACAGATACCATTTTTAGATTCCAGGATAGTTTCCTAGGAATGGAATAATCATAGATCTGCAGAGTCAGCAACTCAAACCAATAAAAGGTTCTTGAATAACCCTTTAAATACCGCCACCTGCAAATCATAATAAGAAAGAGAACCCATAAAGATAATAATATAAAGCTGTTCCATTAAATTAAATCCATTAGTTGTATACCTAGACACAAACAATTAATCCAAAATTAAATAAAAAAACGCACAAAAATGCTATTGATAATACCCACAACCACCTCCACCTCCACCATCACCTGAAAGAAACAGAAAAAAGAAAAAGAAAATATCTTTAAGAAAAACAAACAGAAAAGAAAAGAATAATCTTTCATAACAATTAATCCGCAACAAAATGAAAAAAAAAAAAAAAAAAAAAAAAAACCAATAAAAGTTCTTGAATAACCCTTGTAAATACCGCCACCTTGCAAACATAATAAGAAAGAGAACCATAAAGATTAATAATATAAAGCTGTTCCATAAATTAAATCCAATTAGTGTAATACCTAAGACACAGAAACAATTAGATCGCAAATTAAATAAAAAAACGCACAAAATGCTAATTATAATAACCGCACAACCACCTCCACCTCCACCATCCAACCTAAAAGAAAACAGAAAAAAGAAAAAGAAAATATTCGTGAAGAAAAAACAGAACAGAAAAGAAGAAGAATAATCTTCATACATGTAATCCGCAACAAAAATGAAAAAAACAAAAAAAAAAAACAGATAGAAAACTTTATTGAGTAATGAAAAAAAAAAAAAAAAAAAAAACATAGAAACTTTATTGAGTAATGGCTGAATAGCAGCCATAAGCACCTGAAAGCAACAGAAAGAAAGAAAGAAAAACAAAAAGGAAAAGAAAAGAATCAACTTTTTCTTGTATGTTGAGGTGCATGATGGTGTAGATATAAAATATATGTATGAGTATAGTCGTTTATTGCCGATGCAGCATCATCAAGATTCTCACTTTCAAAGAAGAAGAGAGACGCAGAAAAGATTGAGAAAGAAGGAGAGAGAGATTAGTTTAGCATCATCACCACCGTACATTTGCATGTGAATCTTGATGATGCTACATCTGCAAACAACGACTGGCAATCTATCCATGCACAAAGCCCCTCTATTCCCCTTTATATATATAGGGATAAGAGATTCAAGAAACAAGATAGATTAAAGATTAGTACTAAACCAAATGGAAAAATATAGTATATATTATATTTATTGTTGTAATTAAAATAAAAATTGTATTTTTCATTGCCCATATAGCAACAAGGCCACGAGAACAATCTGACGTGGCATCTGACCACTGGTTAAAATCACAATTGATTACGTGAAGGTGGTACCCGAGAAGAATCCCAACCTGGTCTGCTCTGTGTTTCAACTCAATCTTCATACCAAACAAAAAAAAATTAAAAAAAAAAAAAGAGAAATGTTTCTTGGGTATTAAAAAAGAATTGAAAGAGTTACAAAATCCGCAGGTTTTGGTTTCTGGGTCTCTGCTTGTTTTTCTCTCCGGTTAGATTCTGCCAAAAGTTGCATTTATCTAAGAATATTCCGGCCAAAAAACAAAATTAAAAGAAAATCAAATTAATTATACATATGCTATGATAAGGGTAAATAAAATAAAATAAAATAAAATCTGAAACAAGAAAATTAAGGAAAAAAAAAAGAGGAATTCCCATATTTTCTTGAAAATAGATTAAATAAATAAAAGCCTGAGAGAGAAGCAAAGAAGGAAGAGGAGGAGACTGAATTGAAACATGGATAATAATTGGTAGAGAGGTGCTATTGTATATGTTTTATATGGACGGAGATTAATCAAAGACTTGTAACTTTTTTTTTGGTATTTTTAGGATAATTATGTGTTTCGATTTGATTGGTTGATGCCTCGCTGTATAGTACTGCACAATGTGTTGCCGCAGTTACACATCGCCATCTCCCCAAAACCCTAGTTTTTATTTTTGAGTGGTGATACAATAAGGGCGGTCTTCTGCTTCTCCCTTGCACTCTCACTTCTTTTTTTTTTTTAAGATAAATTATTACTATAAATTTCTCTTCACATAAATAACTTAAAATTTATTCGCAAAAAAGGAAAAAAAATGTCTTACATGCCAAAAACATTTTTTTTCACAGCATATATATACTCTGCTTCAATATACCTTGACTATGAATTAATTTCTAATACCATCTTAATTATTATTAAATAGTTTGTCATGTCATTTTATTATCAAACATAATAATTTTTAAGTAATTTTAAATTAATTTCTGAGCATCATTCGACAGAGTGGCTAGATGATCCTCCATATTTGATTAATGATGTACTTTTTTTTTTTTATGCTAATAATAATTGAGTCAATTTTCTTTTTGGAAAAAAAGTTTATGATATTGTTTTATTATTTAAGAGTATTTTGAAATTTATTTACATATATGAAAATTAACTTTTTAATGATTCTAATAATTCATTTCCTAATATTACTAAGTGCATTCAAGGATATTATAAAAGGTTTTTTTTTTTTATCAAATGCTAGTAACTCATTAATTGAAAAACCGACTTCTTTTCTTTGCTTTTTTTTTTTTTTTCTGAAAGCAATTACTTCAAAAGATCTATTTAGCAAAATTAACTATTTTGATAACTGTTAGCTATTTTAATGGTGTTTAACTTTTGAGTAATTTTTTATAAAACGCTAAAAACTAAATATTTTATAAGTTAATTTTCTATAAAATATTACTTTAACATCTAAAAGCTAATTTAAATAATATATTATCAAATATTATAAAAGATATTATTTAGCTACTTAAAAAAGCTATATCGAACACAGCCAAAGAAAGTTGAAACTTCCAACATCCAGTTTTCTTTTTTCAAATTTCTAATTTACCAAAAAAGTCAAAAAAATATTTGGTATGGTTCCATTTACAATTTGTAAATGACAAGTCTTATTAAATTGTCTAAACAGAAAACCAAAAGAAAAGCCATTAATCAATTTGCTGTTTTAATTACCAAATAGTTTATTACTAAAAATATTTTAAATTCAAATTAATTGGTGAATTATTTAATAGAACATGTGCTGCATCAAGTATTCGATTTTTATTTCAACTCACATGATAACGTTTGACCCAAAGATGATCAATTATGTTCAAACTACTCCTGCTTTAGTTTTAATTTTAAATTTATTAGATATTAAAATGGATCGATAATAAGAATATTATTTTTTTATTCATCAAATCGGTGAACATTCTTACAATGGAGTAGACTTAATCCTAAAATTTTCCGATATCTATATTTTATAGAAAGTGAATACTAAAATTGTATATTTTTTATAGAAAGTGAAAAAGGGATAGAGAAGAAAATGAGAAAGTATATTGTTTTTTGTTTCTTTTATCTCAGATAAATAGACTTATTACATGGAATATTAGTAATTATTTAGAACAATTTCGTACTTAAAAAAATAATTTTATTAAAATTACCAACTAGAGTCATTCGTGCCTTCTCATCGTGTTACTATTTCTTAAAATAAAGATTTCCAATTTTAAATTATACTTTAAAATAAAATCAGCGAAATTTTGAAAAGGGAACGGGGGAAATTCTTAGCAGTTTTTAAGGTTATCTTTCCTACAACCACCGTTATGGATAATATCCTCATCTACTTTACTTTCTTGCTATCCAACAACATCTAGAAATTCCAACCTATTAGTAGTATTCAAGCTCTCAAGATTAAGCACCCAACTATAAAAGTAATACTATTTTTCAACACTGCTACGTCAGGAAAGGATCTATACAAAATTTTAAATTGTCATTTAAATAAATATTTTAAACAATTAAAACTTGAATTCAATTTATTTATTTATTTTTTGTATTTATGGTTAAGAATAATTTTAGATCAAATTATATATGGGGAGTAGTTAGATTTTGAATTCATTTATATAGAGAAAATTATTAAAAAAATCGATTTAAGATGATTCTAATTAGTTTCAATTGAATTGACTGAATGTGCATCTCGAACCGCGTCGGAATAAATTAATTCATAGGATTTAGGCATGTAGGGCAGTGCTAGAGCCACTGAAGTGGGGTCAATTATTAAAAAAAAAAATTATATATAGGACTTAATTGATAAAAAATTTTAAAATATATATATTAAGTGAAAATTTTTAGAGTTTTTAATCTAATTAATCCCACTAAAAATTAAATTAAATAAATGATCTCACTGAAAATTATTTCTACTTCGGCCACCGGTATGAATCAACTTCTGATTATCTCATTACCATTTGAAGTACTTTTATTTAGGTTAGTTTTTGTTTGAGCTTTCTCTCTTAGTATGAAATAGATATTTTATAAATTGAGTATGGTAAGAAATAATAATATATAAAAAATACAAATAGGTTTTTTTATGTAAATCACCCATATTCAGATCCCATTACTAGTGACCACTTAATCCGAATTGGAGCTTAAATTTTTAATAAATAAAAAAGTTTTTTCTTTCTTTCTCATGGTCCAGAGAAGGGGAAGGAAAATTGGAGGCCAAGCACGTGAAGGTGTCTTCTGGTTAGCTAAACGGGGTTGGCCACAAAGGGTTTTAAACTGAGAGGTCTCAATGCTTTGGTACAACTTACAAACCCTCGAGGTTGGCGTATGCAGGGCCGTCCCAGTCCCACCACTTGCCTCACTGTCTCTTTAGCTTCTCTTCTGTGTGTGTGTGTGTGTGTGTGTGTGTGTATATATATATAATCTTTTCCTTTTCATTGCGTTATGTAATCATTTCTGCAATAAATTAGTTGCCCATTATTGAAGTTGACTCAATTCATCCTAACGCTTTAATGCACGAATTTAGGGCTGCCCACGAGGCTTAGTCCTAACACGGCGGTGCATTCAAATATTTCAAATTAAAATTAATTTAACTCAATTTAATATAATTTAATAAATATGTCTGCATTTATTTTGAAAAATATATACTACAGTTTATTAATCAAATTTCAATCAATATAAATATTCAAAAAGGAGAATAACGCCAATAGTCGGATTTTTTTCCATTTATGTAAGTAACGAGAGATCTTGAGTTCGAGTCATGTTTTCACCGTATCTATAATAGATATAAAAAATGGTGTTTGTTACATGTCACCTAGATTTATGAAAAATACTATTCCCTCCATTCTTTTTATATAGAAAATTTTGCCTAATTTGATAATTTTGGGAATCATGCCAATATGAAAAGTCTATTTCACCATTGTTTTAATCCTTTGTGAAGCTTTTAGTGTGAGAGATTCTCAAGATAGTAGCACACAAAGGTATAGATGAATGTTTAATATAAAGAAATTTTGGAGCATTGATTTGAGAATTGATTTTTTAAATCAATTTTCATTGGAAAAAAATGTGCTCATGTAGGTGATTTGATTGCTGATTAAAATGGAGTTTGAATATAAAATGACCACAAAATTTTTAAATTGACCACAATAAAATGAATTCTTATGGATTTTGCTCGAATATTTGAAAAGTTGAACGATTTTTAAACTATGTTTTTAATAGCCACAGACAGTTGAAGGGTTAAATGAGGATAAATTAAAAATTTTCATACAACTTTCCTAAATAAATGACCAAAAATGAATTTTTCTCCACAATTCAGAGCTTTCATGCGAATAAAGCATTTAAAGCATCATTAAATATTGAAACATAATTTAAGGCATACATCGATAAAGAATGAATAAATGAGATATTATGGGTAAATTAAGAAAAAAAAGTTGGTTAAACTACTTTCTTACTATTGGTGAAAGTTTTAATTGTTCTTATATAACCCGAGGGAGTATTTTTTTATATAAAATTGTGATAATTTTATGGAATATTGACAAAATTACTCATTTTTTTATAATTTTGTATTTTTATAAAAAAAAATCTACATTTACAAAATAGTGATGTCTCTCACCGTAATCTTATATTTATTTAAAATTCATCGCTAAATTATAATTTTCACAGAAAAATACTCTTTTTGTCCTGTAATTCTTGTTCTATTTTTTTTTATCCATCCCAAATTATTATTGTATATCCTTTGTTAGAAGAGAATAATAGTTAATTTAGAGGTTGATCACAATTGCCGCTAAAGGGATTAAGTCAAATTTTGAATATTTACTTGTCAGCTCGATTTCGTGGATAATGCAATTTATTTAATTTGTTTGTTTATTCTGGCCCAAGGCTTTAATTTGTTTGTTTGTTTATCATAAACTTCAACTCATTTTATATTCATTGTCCGAAATTTAAAAGATGGAAATTGATGAGAGGAATAATTGTCAAAAGTTGTGTCTTTCTATCTAATTTTTACATCTTTAATCAACAAGAAAACACAAAGATCAAATGACAGATATTAAAATATTATATCAAAAAAATTACAGTACGGTCTCTATAATTTGAAAAATACAACTAATTTATCCATGTATTTTATTTTTTTTAAAAAAAAATATTTTTATCATTTTATAAGATACTTAATAGAAAAAATTGTAAAAAATGGACAAAAAAAACCTACATAAACTATAAAGTAATTGATAAAGTCATAGATTCGAGCCCTTCTGCGCTCAAAACTGCCTATGAGCCAATTCCAGTTTCTCCCAGACATGGGTCTAGATAACACGTGATTAAAAAATAAAGAGGCAAGAAACCGTTAAATTTAGTAGAACGGAGGTAGTTTAATTGATTTTAATATCAATTAGCATTTTATTTTTTATGGAACACTAGTATAATGATATATTAGAAAAAAAAAGTAAAATAAAAATTGCAGTTTAAC